TGAAAATCTCGAGGCGTCCTGTGTTTCTCACGCCGAGAGCTGTGGTTCAGGAGTCAGTGTTGCATTAGCAAATTCAGGCTGTGCGTGCTATGGGATCCAAATCAGGAAGCATTGAGAGCCTCGTGCCGTGATTCTGTCCATACTCATTATTGTACAAGCATTACTGCTCACTAGACTCTCCAGTTCGAGGTTCTCCTTCGCTGGGCTGCCGGGGTCCCCGGGGTGAGACGACGGCACAGGAGTCTGCAGCCGTTGGACGATAGATCCAGCCATATTCCTCAAGTGTCATATGTGTTGCGGCAGAAAGGGCAGTAAAGGTATTCTTCGCAGAGGCGTCTCTTCCCACATTCAGAGCAGAACTTTGCCCTCTTCGGTGGCAGGACTCTTCCGTCCACTGCCACGGAGGCTGACAAGGCGGGCTTGGAATCTGTTCTTGCAGCCGATGTTCCAGTAGGATGGGAGAAGACTTGGGCGAAGGAGTCCTCGACACACCTTCGTTGCCGTTTTGGCGTAGGTCTGTCATAGTAGCGGTCAATGGTCTCAATTGATGTCGCGGCAATGGCCGAGACGACTTGAGGAGCATGCCCAAGGTCCCTCATGAGAGTAATCCCACTTGCTTTGAAGGTGTGAGTGCCAAGCTTCCGTAAGTCCACGCCTTCCATAACATGGCCACCGCTAGATTCGCTAGATAGTCGACGTTCCCTCTCCAGCAGCATAGCCACCACAGAGACTGCCTTCAGGTAGCCTCGCTCCGACACTGGTCGCCTCCAGTCACGCTGGCCGTGGTCTCGGCCTCGAGTCACCATGCCTGGGAAGAGGTACACCTCGCGGAGAGATACGTCTTGTCCCTGGTACGGCCATTGCGTCTTGCCAGCTCCTCTCAGAGGCTCATGATGCATCCAATCGAACAAAGCATGGGCGAAGTCTTTCGCCAGAGGGGCCGTTCTGCAAACTGTTTTGCGATTGACTTTCGGAATCCTGATCTGTGCAGGCTTGCCCAGGCTATAATCCAAGTCCCGAAACCATGACACTTGAATTTGTCGAGCGCAGTCTGCTCTTTCTGCCAGCATTGTCTGCAGCAGGGTCAGCACTGCCAGCCAGGGGTAGCCTGCACGTAGGCAAGCCTCAAAGAAGTGAGGTAGTTGTGACTCGTCCAATACCTCGCGCGGCCCTTGCTGCGTCGACTTAGCCTCAGCTTTGCAAATACGAAGGTGCGCCTCGCAACAGAACCGGAGTTCCGCGCAGTGCGACCGGACAGCCCGGCACTGAGAGGCTTTCGCTTCTGTCTTCGTAAGGCGGAGGCTTGCGCTCACGTTCTTCACATCACGAGAGCAGCGACAGTGCTTGTAAGCGCATGCTATTTTGACCGTGCTTTTGGGATCGCGTAGTGGACCTCGACGCTTCTGTGATTTTGCCATCAAGCAAGGGTGGCCACCATGCTGCAGTCGTGGTTTTCTTTGGCTTGTCCTATTCTGTACTGGCTAGGGCTAGGATACTAGGGCATAGCGAGATTTCCTGTTGTCCGTTTTCTGGCAGTTCCGAACTAGTTTCGGTACTAGGCGACATGGCCCGGGGAAAGTGGAAGCGGCAGCCTTGCAAAGGCACTCCGGAAGATGTCAGGCAGCATGTGACCAGCTGCAAGACAGAAGATTGTGCGTGCCACTCTGCCGGGCATCGCCTTCCATCCCTGCAAGAAAAGTGCCAGTTGATCAGCCCCGAAGTGCTCGAGGCTCTACAAGAAGCTCCTGCCGAGACTCTAGCAAAGGCGCAGGACCTGCTGGGCGTGTCGTGGCTGAACTACGAGTTTCAAGGGGAGCCTCAGCGCATGCTGCTTGGGTGCAGTGTGTGCTCTGGCGACAAAGGAGTACAGTTTACGACTCAGCAGGCTGCCGCTGCCAATAAGCTGTCGAGGCATGGCAGTGGACCGGAGCATGTGCGGAACGTGTGCAAGTTATTGGGCTACGAGGTTCCCACCCAAGAAACAGCTGCAGTGCGATGGCCTGGGGCGGAAGTCGTTCTCCAAGTCTTCAGACAGTTGCAGGGCGATACCACGGACCGTTTTGTAGAAGGTGTGTCGGCCGAGAAGAAAACCAGTAGGATCGAATGGTGCATCGTCGAAGCCACGCGCGAGCAGTGGAGGGAATCCTTGCGAAATGCTGTGTCTATCTCCTTGTTGCGAGACGAGAGACACAAGCGTGTCTTGCTTCGATTCCGGGCGGTGGACAAGACCTTGCAAGTCACGAACGGGGTTTTGGGCCAACTAAAGGGCGACTACTCCAGCACCGCCCTCGGATTGACCGCAGCGACTCTGAGGGTCATCCGGGAATTTGCGACGCCGGGTTTGGCTCGGCCTGGGATGAAGGGGGAGGAGCTGCAGCTGGAGGTGGACGAGTCCCTGGTTCAACACATTCGTGAGTGTGTGCTGTCCACCACGATTGACGCGGCCGGCAATGAGGTGGCAGCTGTTCAAGACTCGGCAGCACCGCTTGAAGTCCATTGCCAGCACTTGGCCGAGGGCGAGACGCTGTTCCCAAACCACAAGTTGATTGTGCGGGACCGTGCGCATGGGACCAGAAGGGTCCTGGAACGCCCCTGGAGGGCCGACCCCTTTCTTGATGCAGTCATGACTTCCCTGATCACTGGGTCAAGCAGTGTTACTCAGTTGATTGAGCACAGCTTCGACTTTAAACAGTGGTTTTCTGAGGCGTCCAAGGCCTCCATGACACGAGCTGTGGCCACTCCATTCCGGAATCTGCGTTCGGCTTTGCATCGTTACGAATCATTGGTGACTCCTCTCAGCCGATTCGTCCTGGATCTTGAAGCCGTGCTGGCTGTGGCTACTCGTATGGTAGGGGAGCGTGCTGGCACAAACGCAGCCCATTGCGCGGAGGCATTTCTGGATGCAATGGACAGCGAGGTGTTGCTGACAGCAGCCCTCTTAGCCGACGCGGGGGACGAGGCCCTACAGCTCATTAGATGGATGGACCAAGACGAGAACGTTGTGGATGCAGCCCGTGCAAACATTCAGGTGAAAAAATTCCTGGACTCCATCCGCCTACTCTTTAATGAGGGCAGAGTGCTGGCCATCAAAGGCCACACACAGTGCATGCTGACATGGTTGTCGTCGCCTCATGTGCTGGCCTACAACTCCAAGGTCAAAGCCCTGGAGGTCCAACCGCTTGTCCAGTGCGGCTGCAGCAGGCTTGCCTGCGAAGGCTTCAAGTCTGGGCTGCGTTGGCAGAGGAGACGGTTAAGGCAGAATTTCCAGAGTTCGAAGCCGTGGCGGCGATGCGTGTGCTCAACGTGTGTGATCCCTGGCCTTCCCTGGATGCCCTCTCTTCCTCGGACAGCGAGAATATCCCTCCAGATGCCTGCACAGATTTGGAGCGCCTAGCTCAGTCCTTCGATTGTAACTTTGCGGCCCTCAAAGTGGAATGGATGGACTTTCGTGGGAGAGCTCGCTGGCATGCTGTGAAGTCTGGCTGCACAAATATCTGTGCATGGAAGAAGGCTATTGACGAAAGCCAGGAGCAGTGTTGGGTCAAGTCAAGTTTGTCCTAGTCAGTGTGTAGTTTGATAGGCAACATATCGTTGAAGGGTTTCCCCCACCCCAACCCCCTAGGCAAAAGTCTTCGCCGGATAAAACCTGAATTTTGCCAGGAGAGAAGAGAGACCGCCGCCCGACACCCCTGCCAGCATCTGAACGTGGTCCTCTGCGGCTATGCCAGCACGTGCATTTCGGACTCAGCGCTTGAGCGATCCTTCTCCCAAGCAGCCGCCAAGATTCCAGCCTCAGCCAGGCACCTTCACCCGCAGAAGGAAAGCCTGCGCATGTCTTTCTTGGCTTTGAAAGAAGACGATGTCCGTTCCAGGATGGAGGTGGTGGCCAATCTCTGGAAGCAGCACTTTGGCTCTAGCCGCCAGGGTGCTTTTGATCGCATAGACCAAGGCCGTGCCAAACCTACGAAAGCTGCGACCGAGGATCGAGAGTGCTACAGAGAATTTATCAAGGCCCGCAGAAAGAATGTGGCAGAAGTGGTGCAAAAAAATGCACCCGCAGAGTCCGCAAGTGTTTGTGACGGTGATGCGTGGCTGGAATCGCACCAAAAGGAGCTAGAATTCAATCGAGACAAGCGCAAAAAAAGGAAATTCGAGGCACTGTTTGCCGGAGCCCTACTCGAAGACGAGATGGATCTCACCTTGGGTTGGACTTGGGCTGCCGATCCTTGCAGTGCGCAGATTTGCCTCACGGATTTGTCAGGTGTTCATAGCGATGGCGTTCCTACGTCGGCTATATGGGCCGCTGCTATGCAGGGTGCGTGGGTCATGAGCCCAGCTTGGGCTTTGGGTGGAGATTACACAGGTCCTGCGTTGAAGTTCTTGCCACCCCTGCGCACGAAGAGATTCCTATGGATCAGTCCAGATTTGGCCGAATCTGCCGTAGCTGTTTGTGATGTCCTACGTCGCTGCGCCTCAACAGCCGGCTCCAAGTGGATCGTGGTGAATGACTTGGAAGCATGGCTTGAAAAGAAGCAAGACCTCACACAGAAGAGCAATGCTGCTGCGGCAATTGCAGCCGTGACAACGGAAGAAGCATCTATGTACAGCGATGTTCCCCATGTCTTTGATTTAAGCGGTTTCTTTCAGTTCGTGTGCAGGTTGGACAAGCAGAAATCTCGCTTGGCCCTAGGTCTTCTCTAAGCTTGTCATGTGCATGGTTTCAATTCAGTGCCTGGCTAGGCATCCCACAACCTGATAAGCGAGACCCATAAAAGTCACAGTCCCTCTACGCTGCTGCCGGCAACAGCTGCAGCACATGTCTGGCCAGAGCACACAATGCAGTACGCATGACAATCGTCGGGGGAATGAGGGGGAAAATGTGAAGCAACCGACTGCACACGTACAGCTTTGCTCCAACGACATGAGACCATGCATCGGTCCCCTTTTCTTTCCGTGACTGAGGCCTGGCGGCGGGCCGAGCAAGGCGCGGCCATGGTTTGCCTAGAGTCTGAGTTGTGCTTTCAGGTGCTGCATGTGCCAGGGCTACGTCGCTGGGGTCACCTAGAACGTCAGGGTTAGCTTAGTAGAGGTTGAGGAGACATCGAGATTTGAAGTTCAGTTCAAGCAACAACCTATGTCGGCAGGAAGCATGGCATGTCTGGTGGGATTGCCCAGGAGCCACTTGCACGCAGCTTGTCTCTCGAAGTCACTCGGACGCTGGGACGGCGGCGAGCCATGCCGAAGCGCAAGCTGGCGCAGTCTGCCGCAGCAGCCGTGCATCCTGACACAGCACCCACGGCAGTTACTCTGGGAACGGATTTCTCAGGGCTCGACGGAGTATGCTTCGCTCTGCAACGGCTCGGTGTACGGTTTGAGCATGTGTTCAGCGCCGAGACGGACAAGGCAGCGCGGAAATTCATCAGGCATGCTCACCACCCACGCCTGCTGGAAGGAGATGTCCGGTGCAGAGACTACGATACCGAAGGCAAGGCTCCACCCGCAGTGAAGCTTTATGTCGCAGGACCCCCTTGTCAGCCCTTTAGTCCGGCTGGCGGGAGGGATGGATTCTCCGACGTCCGAGGCATGCTGCTATGGAATGCAATCGATTACATAGTGTCCCGACGTCCCGTGGCAGTTCTCCTAGAAAACACAGACAGACTGCAGTTGGAAGAGGGCCTCGAGGTGATCTGCGGAATCCTGACAGATGCAGGATACAGCTGGAAGTGGATGATTCTGAACACCATGGACTACGGTGTGCCACAAAGCCGGAGACGGATCTACCTCCAAGCCGTGCTGTCTGCGGAGCTTCGGCAACCCTTGAGATTCCCCCCTCCGCTCTGCCAGAAAGACATTGCGCCTCTCAGCACCTTCCTGACGAAGTCGAGCCCGCCGCCTGTTGCTGTCCTGCCGGAGCATCAGGCACACGCGCGGCGGGTGCAGTCGGAGATGGAGAAGCATGCCGAGAGGGGCTTGAATCCCTTTGAAACAGGTCTATGCATTGATTGCGGTTCGTCAGATAAGTGGGTTGGCAGCGCAGTGGAGCATGCAATGACCCTCACCAAATCCCGGTGCCAGGACTTTGGCCATTGGCTTACCAGCCAGGGCCGATATCTAGATCTAGACGATTACAGCAAACTTCAAGGCTACGACCCGGACATGCTCGATTTTGCCGGTGCAGGAGTCAAACGCACCCAGGGGGCGGCTATGCTAGGAAACGCAATGTCCCTCAACATCCTGGAGTTTGTGCTGCTGGAACTGTTGCATTCTGCAGGATTGATAAGCTCGAGCGAGTACGAGACTGCAAAAACCAGGGTCAAACGACGCTGGACTTAGACTGCTGTGCTTCGGACTGCTGAGAAGGCATGTCTGTGTCGCTCTAGCACAGTTTTGGATGCATCTGTGGCAGGATAGACACAAGGCCGCTGGCAGTTCTATAGAATCGGCAGGAGTTGTTGCTGCTTAATGAAGTCTGTCTGCATCCTCAGGGCTGAACACTATAATAGAAAGGATCTCCGAAAGCCTGCTTTGGAACACCTTGCAAGGGCCTGCGTAATAGTGATACTCCCCGACAATGACCTAGGCTACCTGCATTGACCAAAAAAAACTCTGCAATGTAAATTTGCGTATGATTCCACTTCTAATTGCAGAATGATCCTCGTCCTTGGGCGGTGCCACCCGACGCTAGTCTCTAGCACTCGGCGGCCTGTTGCAGTGAGCAGGTGCCAATCCCTCGCCGCTGCGGCTGGCCAAGGCGCCTGCGACAATTGCTTTCCGGGTCGTGGTCGAGGTGCACTTCTGCGGGCGTACCCGTCTCTGGACTTGGTGGGGGTATTGGGGGTGGGGTAAGCAACAGCCGGAGGCGCCTCTGAGCATGGCATGGGTAGGGGGAGCGGGCACCCTGCACTCGAACATGTCGCCTCACGCTAGAAATGGCTGGGCTGGCTCGGGGAGCGTCTCCCAGAGGCCAGGGTTTCTAGGCAGGTGCTTAGACGGCAACCGAACGTCAGAGGCGCCTCCGACCGTTGTAAGGGGTTTTAACCGGCCCGAGGCCTAGAAACCACACCGCGGCAACCCAGGTCAGGGCTCCAATGCGATAGGTCGACATGTGAAGGTGTCCCAATACTAGGCGTACTTATCTTGTTGAGGCGGTCCTTATAATCATAAGGATCCTACTATGCAGAGTACATTATATCAGGGTCCCCTGTGTTCGGAAATTCCCATGTCGCTTCGCATGTTCAGATGCATGAATTTATCTGCTGTCGCCACTTCCATGTCAATAAGTACTCCCACCTTTGACAGGCTAGACTTGCCGTCGCTAGACTTGCAGCTATGGTCCGTGCCAAGACTTGCATCATGCGTCGTCCTGCCGCGCGCCCTAGAAAGACCTCCCAGAAAGAACATCGGGCCAAACGGGACCGATTCCAACGTCGTGTGGGGACGCTGCCGCGACACCATGGGTGGGTCATCGATCAAGCAAGCACGGCTCAGGAAGCACTGTCTCTCTCTCAGCGTCTCTCTGCACAAGAAGAGTCTGGTCTCTCAGCAATCTCAGTGAAGGTTCTGGGCAAGGGTGAGACGCCTGACAGCTGTGTGGTTGAAGTACGCAGCATAAAGCCGGGGGTCCACCTGGCGGACATTGGCAGCGACAAACTCTACCAACGCTTGTGCGAGTTAGAGGCTCTGAAGGCCGAGGTTCTAGAGGAGATGAAGCCCATATGGGACATTTTAACATCACGCAATGTGTTTGTGCAGCTTCCCGATTCTGAGTCGGAAGGCTCGGAGGGCTCGGTCTGATCGTGCCAAGTCGGCAGCGAAAGATGTGGGCTTTGCATGCCATGATGTGGAGGATGGTCAGGATGAAGATATGATCTCGACGGGATGTCAGGTGAGGTGATTATAATCGAGTACACTACAGTATATCAAAGTATGACAGGGTGCATTGTAGTGTAGCATAGTATAGCGCAGTCTTGCGTAGTATGCAGTTGGGTGTGGTTCAGTCTGATAGACTAACATATGGTATGATATGATACCGTCTGACATGATATGACATAATAGCATCTTTTAGGGTACGATATCATAAGATATGATATTACATGATATGATATGGTATGACATGATATTATATGATATGCTATGATGTGACATGAAATGATATGATGTGATAAGGCAGTATATGACATGAGATGATATGTTACGGTATGACATGATAATATATGATATGATATGATATCATATGATGTGACATGAAAGATATGATGCGACAAGGTAAGAGGTGATATGAGATGATATGCTATGATGTGGAATGGAGATGTAATATAATGATGTCATGTGACATGATGTGATACGATACATGATGATGCCATATCAAGACTCAGTCGGATGATATAGAAGCCCCTGCTGGAGCCAGCTAGAGTCCTGAAGTCATAAAAGAGTACCCTCGACCCAAGACTCTAAACCCGAAGCGCTTCACACAAAACACGAAACCCTTAAAGCCTGAGCCCTTCAACCCGAAGCCCTAAGCACGAAACCCTGAAAGCCACCCGAAGCCCTAAGCACGAAACCCTTAAAGCCACCCGAAGCCCTAAGCACGAAACCCTTAAAGCCTGAGCCCTTCAACCCGAAGCCCAAAACGCCTGCTCTCGGAGGCTCCTGGCCAAGCCAAAGGGGGCAGGACGCTGCGTCCCGGGGGGGTCGGGGTAGGGCCAGACTTGGAGGCTCGGCGTTCTCGACCCTTATAGATCGCTGCAACCCCCCAATACTATTGTAGGGTTTTTGCCCCTACGGGCAATGCGAGCCCACAGCCGTGCTCGGCTCACGGCCTGGATCACTTCCCCCCTAGGGTTAGGGCGATGGGTTTCGATACCGGGGTTTGTGAAGGGCTTTGGCCTTGAAGTTGCAGGCTTAGGTTGCGGGTTTGCGTTCCCTGGTTGCGGGCTAAAGATTCCACGGGTGGCTTTGGGCATCTTGCGGAGCTTTACCAGGGGTTAGGGTACAGTTCTAGTGTTATATCATCACGTATCCGACTACAGCATCGAACCAGCTTTGGCTTGAGGTTGTACGTGGGGTGGCAATTTGAATTCCCGATGTGCAGAGCTGAGGGTATCCTGGGGCATCATCATCCTCATCCTCATCATCATCCTCATCCTCGTCCTCATCCTCATCCTCGTCCTCAGCCTCATCCTCGTCCTCATCCTCATCCTCGTCCTCATCCTCATCCTCGTCCTCATCCTCATCCTCATCCTCATCCTCATCCTCCTCCTCCCCCTCATCCTCATCATCAAAATCATCCTCATCCTCATCATCATCATCATCATCCTCATCATCATCATCCTCATCATCCTCAACCTCATCATCAGCATCCTCGTCATCATCCTCATCTTCTTCATCATCATCATAATATTCATCATCATCATCGTCATCATCATCATCATCAACAACAACATCATCATCATCATCATCATCATCCTCATCATCCTCAACCTTATCATCCTCCTCCTCCTCATCATCATCATCATCATCATCATCGACAACATCATGATCATCATCCTCATCATCCTCAACCTCAGCATCATCATGCTCATCATCATCCTCACCATCATCATCATCCTCCTCCTCCTCATCATCAGCATCATCTTCATCACCATCATCATCATCCTCATCCTCCTCATCATCCTCATCATCATCCTCATGCTCATCATCAT